GCAACGGTGGTATCATAGTATAATGCAACTACACTTATAGAAAACCATGTTTGTTGTTTTTGTACGACCCAAAATTTTGCACACACACTCTCTTCATCTCAATAATCAACCTCTAAAAAAATAAAGTTCAATTTGAATCCTAGATATGCTCAAAATGAGTCCCCTCCAACAACGACTCTAAACCATTAATTTGGTGAATTTCAAGATCTTAACTTTTACAAACTCAAAATTATATTTTTCTTTTTTATTGTTCATCAGATGATACTAAAGGCATCTAAAAAAAATTGGAAAATAAAAATCCTTCTAAGGCCTAAATCTAAGCATCTTATCAAAATGGATGGCTTATGTTAATTAGGCTAAAAAATTACTTTTTCGATTGTGTTTTCAAAATTTTCTTTTTAGTGATTGTTCATTAGGATGAAAAGAATGTATAATTTAAAATTTGGATCAAACAAATGATTCTTTTCCCACACACACACACATACACACACACACACACATAAGAAAATATGAGCCCAATGGCCCAATGGCCCAAATGAGCCCAATGGCCCAAATTGAATCTGGACCGATCTAACGATCACGGATGCCCGATAGTGTTTGAATTTTAATTTTTTTTCTACGAATCTAAATCATTTGAAAATTTAAACGTGTGTTGATAAAAAATAAGTGAATATTCGTAAAATAGTAAAAAAATATTTTACATGGAAAAATAACCAAAATATCCCTGTAAATATATATATAATTAAAGGCTGAGATTAACCTACTAGTTCATATGAACATATGAGCCCAACGGCCCAGATTGAATCTGAACCGATCTGACGATCACAGATGTTCGATAGTGCTTGAATTTTATTTATTTATTTATAAATCCATATCACTTCAAATTTTAGATGTGTGTTCTTCTCATTATAGCGCACCTAATAAAAATATAAAAAAATTATTCTCCAAAAATAAAATAACCAAAATAACCCTCGAAACTTTTCAAGGTATTTTGGTCAATTATTTAATGTAAAATATTTTTTTGATATTTTTTTGAAGATTAACATATTTTTTATAAATACAGGTCTAAAATTTCAAGTTGATATGGATTTGTAGAAAAATAAATAAAATTCAAACACTACCGAATATCCGTAATTGTCAAATCGACCCAGATTTAATCTGGATCGTTTGGCTCATATATTCATATGAACAAGTGGGCTAATCCTAACTGTTTCCCCTCTTTCTCTCTCTCTCTCTCTATATATATATATATATATGATGCGGCCAAGACTTTAGAAATGTGGGTCTTTTAATAAATCTATTTTTGAAATGGATTTTAAAACTTAATTTTTAAGAACATGTAATCTCTAACATGAAAATCATGAATATGAAAAATTTAACAAATTTTTAAAACTAAAAATAATAATTTTAGTAAGAAAACATTTGGCCTATTAGTTTCCATTGTTTTTTAGATAGAACACCCACTTGCATCATCTTTAAGATGGATGCTTTACACTTTCTGGATCGCATATGTACAAATGCGGTCCAGCCCATATGAAACAATTTTCCATATATATATATATATATATAGACATTATGGCAAAAAAACACTCACCAGTTTTTGCCAAAAATTTCAAATTCTATAAAAATAAATTTCTCCATATTTTTTACGATTTTTTCAGAAAAACATTTTTATGTATCTCGTCCAAGTCTGAGTGGACTGGGACTAGGGCGAGTCCCGTAACACTGCAACAAATCTTTTCAAGGTTAATTTGTCAGTTCCAATGGTTCTTGATAGTTTTTACAAGAACAAGCGCTCTGTACAATTTATCACTCAGGGCCAACAGCAAAATAACAAGTCCAAACTCTTTTCAGATGCGTTCATTTTAAATGAAAATTATTACTGTCATGAAACAGTTATTATTACTGTCATGAAACAGTTCTTAAAAAAAGGCTACACTTTCTTCTTGAGATTGCATAAAGGCCTTCACTTTTACCAATTTCATTGAGTGAATCCAGATCTTTCATAGAACCTTTAATTTCTGAGGAAATGAGAATTCGATCCAAGCCCGAATTCCAAGCCTGATTCAATGAACAAATGTCTAGTCTTCCCATAATATTGGTAACTCAAGATCTCGAAAGCAATTTGACAGTAAGAAAGAAATATCGGTACAAGACTTGTTTTCAAAGAGAACAGAAGATTTAGCCATCTTATGACTTTAACAACAAAGAATGTGTGTGTGAATCTAGAAGAGAGCTGTCAAATACCAAGGGCAATTGACTCACCTGAATAGAGGATATGCAGCACATCCCTTGCAACAAATGTTCAAGACCAGTTGGAAGAACCTTTTAGTGGGATAAAATCTATGCTTCCAGGACAAACACACCCTTTTATGACAAAAGAGCAGTTACCGGTCAAAATTTGTCTCTTTGCTACTCCCAACTCTTTTCCCCAAAGGAATTCCATAGGCAATTTTATACTCTCAGCTAAGTTCCATGATTATACGCTACCTCATTCTTAAGATGTTCTTTCTATTTCACCACTAAAAATTTAAATATCATAAACCTAAACAACAGTGTGTAAAGATATAAGGACCTGGGTTGGAACTCACCAAGGTCCCAAGCCCATGTCAAGTCTTGACCCAAACTTGGCCAAGTTTGTCAGCGACTCGGCTGAGTCCAAAAACGAATAATAGTAATAATCAAATATAGGGATCCAGCCAGACTTGACCAGGTCCCATGTGTTTGGTTCTGGACATGACAGTGCAGTCCTAGTGGGACTCACCAAGTTTCCATTCACTGCTTAAAAAAAATCCCCTCCAGAAAAACTGTTTCACCAACCACCTCTCAAACCTTATCATATCCTCTCTTACCCTGCTAATAATGATAAGTTTTCAGGATGGTGCGCAGGGAAAGCAATATGCACATTGCCTACACATTCAAGAATGATGAAAAATACCAGAAATAGATTTCCTTCCTATTTGAATTTTTGTCTTCTTTAAAGATAGTCAACATGGCTAACAATATTTCAGACAATCTAAATGCAACACCATCTTAGATCTGGAAATAAGAAGGCCTCATTCAAGTAAATGATAAAGGGAAGAAATATAAAAGAGATGCTTCCTATGCCACTTGCCAAGGCTTCAAAGATATCAATAACATATATCTTGCATTTATGGTCCAGTATTGTTTCAAAAAACTGTAAACAAGAAGAAAAGGAGACCATGCAAAATAAATCTATGACATTGGTGATTCAAAACAAGAACAGCCAGAAAATAAATCGCTGGCAAGCATACACAAGTGCATAACTATATAGATTTTCATAAATCCAATAATGATTCACATCATTTGAAGAAACAAAAAACCCAATAATGATTCATCCGAATGCCAAAGCACCAAATGCTCAAGCAGACAAAAAATCTCATTCACCTTATTTCGATTAACCCAGGCACATTGCCCAAAAAGTATTAACAAACAAAGTCAGTGAAAATCGCATGTACTGCTCCATTGTACAAGCCTTCCTCACTGTCAAAACCCATGTATAGAGGAAAAAAAGAAGTCCATCATTTTCAGGCAAGCATCATACTACAGTTATAATATTCCCATCCAGCATATAAATAACCTGATAAAGACCTTGCATGAAAGTTTAAAGGCAAGCACCAATTAATCAACGGCTGCCTCCCAAAGTGGGGTTAAGACCCAAGAGCATATTGTTCCCACCTGGTAAATAGGCAACATTAGGAGTCTTAGCAAGAGTGGCTGCAATCTCTCTCGAAGCCTCAATCCTTCGAAGCTCAATAAGCCCCATTCCAGCACTTCCAGTGGCTTCAGAGATGAGCTTAGCTGCCTCACTCTCACCCTCAGCTCGAATAATGGCCGCCCTTCGCTCCTGCTCAGCTTTTGCCACAATGAATTTTGAGCGCTCAGCTTCTTGTTGGGCAACTTGCTTTTGTTCCACAGCCTTTGAAAACTCAGCTCCATAGGAGAGGTGGGTGATGGCCACATCGTCAAGCACTATGTTGAAGTCCTTTGCTCTCCTAAACGGAAGAGATAGAGAGAGCAGGACGTCAGGTATCGACTAGAAATTGAAATTGGACCCAATTACATAGGTTGAAGACCTCACTCTATCTAGAAAGGGACACACACACACAGGATGGTTCAGGCAACAAGCTTTTATTTTGAAATTTGACCAAATTTCTTATGCTTAAGTCCCTTGCTCTATCCAAAAGGAAGAGTAAGGACGAGGAAGGTCGGGTTTTTGACTGAAAATTTTCCAAAATTGAATTCAGTTTCATATGTTAAGGTCTCTTGCTCTCTCTAAAGAGGAAGAGAGTGATAGAGAAGGTTCAGGGCTTTGACAAAAACCTCAAAAGATTTATGTTAGGATTGCATTGAAATCGAAATGGTTAAGGCACTTCACAGAGCAAAACATGCTGGAATTTCATGCTTAGGAGCATTGTTGAACTTTTAACATTTTGTCCAATATCTGAATCCAAAACCCAGCCGTCACCTATTTCACTCTCGGGATTAAATTCTCTAAGACGAAGATGATTGAAAATTCAAGCTGTTTGTGGTTACAAAAAAGACTTCTTCTTAATTGAAAATTTAGTTACAGAAAGAAGTCTGAATCCCAAATTGAAATTTCATATTCGTGTTTCAGCGTTTCAAAGTTAAATATACAGTGCAGGAGAGAAAAAAAGAATAGAAAGTCATAAAGAGAGGAACAACAAGAGTGAGCTGTAGGTGCATTTTGTTTCCATAAATAAAAAGAAATCATACTCTCAACCATAGTTAGCAAGTCTCCGCTTAAAACATGATTTTTTCAAAAAATCGGGGGAGACAGAAAAAGAATAGAAAGTTAAATTCTTAATCGAAATTTCACATCTGTGTTTTGGCGTTTCAAAGTTAAATATACAGTGCGGGAAACAAAAAAAGAATAGAAAGTCATAAAGAGAGGAACAAAAAGAGTGAGCCGTAGGTGCATTTTGTTTCCATAAATAAAAAGAAATCATACTCTTAACCATAGTTAGCAATTCTTCGTTTAAAACACGATTTTTTCAAAAAATCACGGGACACGAAAAAAGAATAGAAAGTTGAATTCTTAATTGAAATTTCACATCCGTGTTTCAGCGTTTCAAAGTTAAATATACAGTGCGGGAAATAAAAAAAGAATAGAAAGTCATAAAGATAGGAACAAAAAAAGTGAGCCGTAGGTGCATTTTGTTTCCATAAATAAAAAGAAATCATACTCTCAACCATAGGGTTAGTAAGTCCCTGTTTAAAACAAGATTTTTTAAAATCCGTTAAGAACTCCAAGTTTTTCAAAATATCGTAAAAAATCACATTTTCTTAATGGAACCAATATATAAATCTGGATTTTATCCTTTTTGAAAAAAAATTTCACAAATTTTTCTTCCTTATAACTTTATTTTTTTTTATTAACTTAGTATTATTGAATTTTGGTTTAAAGATAAATACATTAACAGTAGGAGTAAATTAAGAATCTTGATTTAACAAAAAATTCCATCAAAAATTTCACCAATGATTTTCCTTAAAAAAGTGTACGAAAAAAATACAAACAATATATTCTCCAAAAAAAGTGATCAAAATAATCGTATATCTCAATATAATAGGTAGAATTAGAAGAAGAGAAACCCAATGAAGAATCTTTTATTTTCTTTTTCTTTAAACCTATAGCATCATTATAAAGAGCACGAGAGAGATTCAATGATACTAAAGATTTAGGTAGCTAGGAATTCAATGTGATTCAAATTTGCTTAAGCATTTTGTTGCTTTTTTATGTATAAAGAAGTTTGATTAATTTTGTATTCTATTTTTTATTTTTTATTTTATTGGTGTATACAAGATAGCATTTTGGATGGACCTATATTTTATATATTTAAGTCTTTTGCATTTTTTTTTTAATTAACTGCAATCTTATATTGATGCCGTTTTTTTGTTTTTTCTTCTTCGAAAAATAATCCTATACCTTGGTTCATAGTTTTTATTATTTGCTAATTAGTTATTGTGTTCAGTATTGTTGTCGTTTCATTTTATACGTCCAATAAATCTATGATATGTTTTGTGTTGTAACAACAGAGTAAGCATTGTTGCTGGATTGGATTTATTGAAAGTTTCAACAGAAAAGCATTGCTCTCATGACACTAGTAAGGCTATAAAATTATTGTTTAATAGCTTTAATATGTCTATCCAATATCTGCACATCATAATCCTATATAGTGTCATCTTCACATACCACTACGTGTTTTTTAACCAAATTCAAACTATTCACATTTCTATAACTTGCCTTATTTTTTGGCAATCCATATTTTTACACGATTTTTTCCTCCGACTTTTTGAAATAAAACCGATTTATTGATGATGTTTTGGTCTGCCGATATTTTATTATTCCCGACTTGCTAACTATAATCTAAACCCTTGCATTACATGCTAAAAAACTAAGCAAGTTTAGCATATTTGCCGATATTGTATTATTCCCAAACCTGCTAACTATGCTCTCAACCCTTGCATTACATGCTAAAAAACTAAGCATACTTTATCTAGAGGACAGAAAGAGAAATAGGTAAATGGATAGAAAAATAAAAAGAAGAAAACAAGAGGGAAGGCAACTAAGGAAAATGAACTATAGTGAGATTTTGCTCGTAAGAAGAAGTAAGAAGAACCAAAGCTTTTGTTATCAAGTTAGGTTAAGCCAGGCTTCAAGAAATATCAAACAGAACAAACAAAGATTAATAACAACCACATCATAGTTTATAGAGGAAGTTGAGAGAAATTCAGGAGGAGATCAACATAAAAATGAAAGAGATGAGAGAGAGGGGAAGTAAAAATAAAGTGATATAAGGTACAAAATGAATAGGCACATCAAGAACAATAAGAACTATCAACACAGAGAGAAAGACAGATAGGCAAACTAAACATAGAAGTGCAAAATAAAGATCAACAACAATAATACCAAATTACAGGGGTTAAAAGAGAAAACCCACCTGATGAGACTCTCCCTCACGAGCGCCGACACATGCGGCCTCTCTGTGAGCAGCTGATCAGCATTGAACTGCGCGACCACCGCCTTCATTACCTCATTCCCAATTGAAGGCAGGACCTTGTCATCATACTCCAAACCCAATGTCTTGAAAATATCAGGCAATCTCGAAACCTCGGGCCTCGACAAAACCCTAAGCGTCAAATTAACCATCTGTAAATCCTTTGTCCCTGAAATCGAAGAGAAGGTGTGAGGCCGAGTCCTAATGTCAAAGATGTAAGGCCTCTGAAGCCATGGCACCAAGAAATGGGTGCCTTCTCCAACTGTTTCTTCAATGACCCCTCTGAATCGATCAAAGAGGACCGCACGTTGCCCTCCATCGACAGTGTAAAGAGAGGAGTTGAGAAGCGTCGCACCGACTCCAAGACCAAATGCAGCGCGGGCGACGTTCGTGAGGAAGGAGACCGCTGCTTGGCTGCCCATCTCTCTCTCTCTCTCTCTCTCCCTACAGATGATACGACTCTCTCTCTAGAATGAAAGCCCCTCTTTCTCACTCTAAAAGTGGCCCCCTCTTTCTCTCTCAACAAACAATGGACCGCCCTTAAACCCTAAACCCCCTTCGCTCCTTGCTTAGTGGGGAGGAAATGGAAGAAGAGGGTTTAGGCACAAATATGACGGAAATGACCCTAACAGGCTCAACGAAGATGACACAAATGCCCCTGTTCCCTTATGGCCACTAACTTTTGACAAATGACGGCGATACGCATCTCTCCTCCTTCATCACACTGTCCAATGACCTGTACACGGAGCTACAAACCTTATGGTCCATGTGATCATAGAAGAGCTACAGCCACGTGTGTTAAATAAACGGTTTACAAATGGACCCACCTAACCAATTGGTGGGCCCAATGCCAACTGTTTATCACTCTTCATCATTTTGGTGGGGTGATAATCATTATCATTATTTAAAACTTTTTTTAATTAAAAAAAGTTAGAAGTCTAATTTTTTTGAGAAAAATTTTAGACTGTTGATTATTAGTTTTTTTGGAGGGACCACCCATTCTACATCTATCTTATATTTAAAGATTCTCGACTCCTAAGTTTTTTTTATCTGAAATCTATCTCTAAAATGGATTTGAAGGGAGGACTCAGGTATTAGTCCTTAATGAAAACCTTGAATATTTATGTCAGTTAATTCAGGCTTTCAAGGGAACCGTGGATATTGGAGGAAGGACTCGTGTAAATATACAAGTCATGAAAACCTTGTCCATAGCACTGATGAATTTTTATGTCGGTTAATTCAAGCTTTCAAGAGATAGCCGTTTGTTTTCCACAAACCTTCTTTCAAGCACCGGCTCGAGTCAGACCATATAGGGCATGGACAGACCTTTCAAGGGTAGACAAAAATGCGGTTAGGTGGTTTTGCTGCTAGGGCACCAGCTCAGACAACGCTCGACATGATCGGACGAAGATTCACCTTCTCATGAATGCTCCTTGGGAAAAGTGGAACTGGTCGCACACAGTCCCACTAAGCTTAGTTGGAAAAACATAAAGGTTTATCCTGCTTCGCCGGCCCTTCCTTATTAGAAGGAGTCGCACCCCTTCAAGTCAGAGCGATTGATCCCAGCAAGTTGAATGATTGAGGGTGGAGGGGACAGTGATTTGTCAGTCCATGGTTTTTAGGGGAAGAGACATATGTCTGAGTAAACCCAAATTGCCTCTAAACTCATTGAGGAAAGTAACCTTCAACAAAGCTCTGATGGGCCAAAATGAGATAAGAATGGCCAAAGGAAGGCAAAGTTAGCACAACATACTCCAAAACTTACGTTACTCAATCAACAGAAGAGAGATTCATCAAGGGTCCTCTTATAGTAGTTGATGTCTTGTCGCCGTGAAGAATCCCTTGCATAAATAAGACCCCACATATCTACTGCAATAATCAAAGCCTTGGGAGGGCAGATAAATGCAATGTGCTAAGAGGCTTAGACCTACAAAAACTAAGAATACTAGTCCCAAAAGCAACAACGCGAATCATGTTGCAGAAGGCTCTGAGACCTACGACGTCGATTTGGCATTGTGTCATACGCAGTTCAGAAATGTAAAACAATCTAAAAAATGATAGAAATCAGTTCAGGGTAGGATGTGCTTGTAGCACCAACATATAGCCTTCAATGTAAAGGCTACCACGAGCCACCCTATTGTAAAACCCTCGGTAATGCCAGTAAGGATTCTTGGGGGTGATGGAAGTTTTGAAGCGTTACCAAAAGGAGTGAACGACGAGCCACCCTATTGTAAAACCCTTTGTATAGGCGAATTACAGTATAATACTACTAAGACAAGGAAGCCATTAATGAAAACAACTCAAATTCTAAACTAAGTAGAACTTTTGAGTGAACGATGCAAATCGCGTCACTTTTAGCGGTGAATACTATGATGCCTATTCAGTACCATACAGAGCAGAATTCCCTGCTATAATGGGAATTCTGAATAGGTTCGGGTTTGGGCATAGGCTTGTTCACCTTGTTCTTGCCAAACCTATTCGGTATTTCATTCTTTTCTCGAAAATTTTTCTTAAGCATGTTTTCTGGAGGGGTTAACCTCATTTTATAGAGAACTCATTTATTTTGTAACTATCATATTCATGGTCTATTGGAGTTGAGATCCAAGTGTAAATCCTATCTTAATTTCTTTAAGTGCAGCTAATTAGGATTAATAAGTTACCACCAAACTGTTAATCTTATGTAATGAGCTAAACCTGTCATTAGTCTACTAATGACTCACATAATATGATGTTATCCAAGCATTTCCACAATTTGATCAAAGATATTTATGAATTAAATAAACTTTAAATATCTATAATATAAAAACAAATTCTTACAAGGAATCCAATTTCAAACACACCATTGGGTTTTCCCTCCAGTACATCATCTTATTAAAGCTAAAAAATGGATCCAAGTATATGGCATTGCCTCATGTTAACCACATGGGATTTCACATATACTTCAATATGCCTTTTGTACCATTATTAAAAATAAATAAATTTCCAGGAGAAAAGACGCTGATAGGCCACATTTTCAACAACTCCCACTTAGCCTGAAGGCCCTTTGACATCTTGTACATGACATTGCCTTATGTTTTCACATGGGATTTTATATACTCGACCAGTGTAGTCAAACACCACACTTAGATTTTCTGGCGTCCATAGCCATATATATTGTATTGACCTATGCAACTTGCATGGGATTTCACATATACCCTGCCAATGTGATCATACACCACACTTATATACTCGACCAGTGTAGTCAAACACCACACTTAGATTTTCTGGCGTCCATAGCCATATATATTGTATTGACCTATGCAACTTGCATGGGATTTCACATATACCCTGCCAATGTGATCATACACCACACTTATATTTCTAGCCTCAATAACCTTGTATATGTCATTGCCCATGCTACTTGCATGGGATTTCACATATACCATGCCAATGTTGTCATACACCATACTTAGATTTTTTGACGTCAATAACCTTATATATGGCATTGCCGCATGCTATTTGCATAAGATTTCATATATAACCTGCCAAAGTGGTCATACACTGCATTTGGATTTCTTAGCCTCAACAACTTTGTATATGGTATTGCCTCATGTTATTTACATGGGATTTCACATATACCCTGCCAATGTGGTCATACACCACACTTGGATTTTCTGGCCTCAACAACTTTGTATATGGCATTGCCTCACGCTACTTTCATGGGATTTCACATATACCCTGCCAAAGTGGTCATATACCACACTTGGATTTCTTGGCCTCAACAACCTTGTATATGGTATTGCCTCATGCTACTTGCATGAGATTTGACATATACCCTGCCAATGTGGTCATATATTACATTTGGATTTTTGGCCTCAATGGTTTTGCATATGGCATTACCTCATGCTACCTGTATGAGATTTCTCATATACCTTACCAATTATTTACCAACATGTTGGATTTTATTTACATCTACCTTTTAGCCAAGAGAAAAAAAAAAGGCCCATTGCTTCCGCATGTTTCTCAAACATGTAATCCACCACTGGTCTTTAAGTCCAAAGCATAAATTCGGATCATAGGTCAAAATAATAAGAACAATGATAATTTGACAAAGCTTAGGAGGTGGATGTTCGAGTCCACTTCAAGGCATTAAGAATGCTCATTGAATGAGTAATTCAATGACTTTTTTAATGTGCATTGATTACAATCGAGATAACAAATTCAATTCTAATTTGGTAAATGGTGATTTACTCCCACTATCCAATGAATAGCTATCAACAATATGATAATTCATTCTAATATGGTACATCATTAAATATTTTAATGTTATGTAGATATACACAGAGCACTATAAGGTGCCAATGATTACTACATCTCAATGAAAAACAATAGCTTATCATCACATTCTCATAGGTACAAATTTAGTTTTCTAAATATAAAGAAGGATAATAAGCAAAAAAATAAAAATAAAATAATGAACAACATTATTAATTCAAACAAAATATTCTTACACAACATGGCCAATAAGCTTACACTTTCCAATGATATTGTAATGCATAATCTTGTAAAAAATAAGGGAGAAAAAAGAATATTATCACAAATATACATATATTGTTGAACTTGGAATATTCATAAGAATTGATCACCATGAAATATTTCAAATCAAGTATTTCTTTACATAAAGGGAAAAGTTTATATAAGGTTGCAACCTTAAAATGTAGAACTATGGATGCACCTAAAAAGTCCATCGGTAAAGGTTGTTTTAATGTTGAAAAACCCTATAATTGATCATCTCGACATTGAGATGTATGACTATGAAAAAAAAAGGATTTCGAGTTTAAAAAATGGTGCATCTTACAACATATTATTTAGATCGTCCATTTTCAAGATTTTCATATGTTTATAGATTTACTTGATCTTAATCATTTTTGGAGCTTAAAGTTTATGATTAGATTTGAAAATAGATTTTATAATATTAAGAATATCTCTGTAGACACCCCATTTTAAATCTGGTAAATTCTATGATTTTTTAAACCTTTAGGACCACATTATCCTAGTAGATCCAATTTAGTTACCTCAAAACTATCCAAATCCTATCCCAATTTGAATTAGAGCCCAAGAGCTTTCCAACGGTTTAAGAATCGCTTGAATCGGACCACAGATAAAAATATATAATAAATAACAATTTAGTCCTTATAAGACCCAACTGTAGATCCGCGGGCCAGGCTGTATCGAGCCCAGACACGAGCAGATGATGCAGTCAACGCATCTGATGATACAATAAACACGTTTTCTTTAATTAAATAAGGCTAAAACTTCAAGATAAATCCAAAAAATTCTGAAGAAACTCCAAAAAATTTAGGAAAAATCACCAATTGAATCTTATAAATACCCCATTTCCCTAACCCAAAAGGAGAGCCAAAAAAAAAACCCTTAGAAATTCTCAAAATTAGGAAAATTACTCAAAAATACCAAAAATAGGAAAACCCTTAGAAAATCCCTAAAAATTTAAGAAA